TTTGGACGAAGTAAGGTCTATAACTAAAAAATTTCAAAATATGAAAGCTCCAGGTGATGATGAAATTTTCTATATCCTCATCAAAAAACTCCCAGAGAGTACCTTGTCTTTCTTGGTAAAATTATTTAACAGATGTTTCCATTTGGCATACTTTCCTGATAAATGGAAAAATGCAAAAGTTGTTCCAATTTTGAAGCCGGATAAAAATCCAGCTGAAGCTTCTAGCTACCGTCCAATAAGTTTGCTTTCTTCAATAAGTAAACTTTTTGAAAAGATAATTTTGAATAGAATGATGCTTCACATCAATACGAACTCAATTTTTGCAGATGAGCAGTTTGGATTTCGCCATGGGCATTCAACTACTCATCAACTCTTGAGAGTTACCAATTTAATTCGTTCAAACAAATCTGAAGGCCACTCAACTGGAGTTGCTCTTCTAGACATAGAAAAAGCATTCGACAGTGTTTGGCATGAAGGTTTGATTGCTAAATTGAAAAAGTTTAATTTTCCACTTTACATTATGAAATTAGTTCAAAATTATTTAACTGACAGAACTCTGCAGGTAAATTATCAAAATTCCAAATCTAATCGACTATCTGTTAGAGCAGGAGTTCCTCAGGGTAGCATTCTTGGGCCTATATTGTATAACATTTTCACTTCGGACCTCCCTGATTTGCCTCAGGGTTGCCACAAATCTTTGTTCGCTGATGACACAGGCATTTCCGCTAAAGGAAGAAGTCTTCGTGTTATTTGCAGCAGACTTCAGAAAAGTTTAGATATTTTCTCTTCTTATTTACAAAAATGGAAGATTTCTCCCAACGCTTCCAAAACTCAACTTATAATATTTCCACATAAGCCTAGAGCTTCGTTTTTGAAACCTAGTAGTAGTCACATAGTCACTATGAACGGAGTTCCAATTTCCTGGTCAAACCAAGTGAAATATCTTGGATTAATACTTGACCAAAAATTAACTTTTAAAGATCACATTGAGGGCATTCAAGCCAAATGTAACAAATATATAAAATGTTTGTATCCTCTTATTAACAGGAAATCCAAACTTTGCCTGACGAATAAACTTCTAATATTTAAACAAGTTTTTAGACCGGCCATGCTTTACGCTGTGCCAATATGGTCTAGTTGTTGCACTACCAGGAAAAAAGCACTTCAAAGGATTCAGAACAAAATTCTGAAGATGATTTTGAAGTTGCCTCCCTGGTACAGTACTACTGAAGTACATAGAATTTCGAATGTTGAGACTTTAGCACAAATGTCCAACAAAATAATTAATAATTTCCGGCAAAAATCGTTACAATCCTCAATTGCAACGATTAATTCCCTTTATACTTAGATAAGATTTAGTTTTAGTTATTTAGTTTTAAGCTATCAATTGTTATACTGACATGCAGGTTTAAAAAACCTGTTTAAAATACTAAATTGCCAAGACAGGAACAATGTAAAAACACTTAGATATATATCATAACAATTAAGGCTGGTAAGTTACTGTAGTAACTGGAGCACCTAGGTTAAAAATGAAATGTAATTTATTTTGAATTTGGAACAAATAAAGAGTTAAAAAAAAAAAAAAAAAAAAAAAAAAACGAAAGCCTTCCTGGATGATAAGTATGATTTGAACCAACAAACGATCGACGGTGCAAGGCCAAGGCGGTTTAGCTTCATAATGGCTAGGTCGTGAGGGACTTTGTCCTTCTCGATGCTTCTCGATGCTACCTATAAGAGTGTTCGTGTAAATCATCAAGTTAGAGACTGTCGAGCGCTTTTTCATGAATCCATGCTGAAACTCTGAGATTATGGATTGAACAGCTGGATACAACTTCTCATGCAAAAGACTTTCGAGAACTTTGGCCAAGCAGTTCAGGATCGAGATAGGTCGGTAATTTTCCACTTTGTGCATGTTACCGGACTTGAAGATTGGTGTAATTGAGGCGAGCTTCCAGGCATCCGAAAAAACGCCATCCTTAAGCGATCGATTGAAAATAGACATAACGGGAGTAGCCAATGATGCTGCACAGTTCTTGACGAAAAACGGTGGAATACGGTCCGGGCCTGACAAAGGCCGTCCTCTGGGTTTCAGGGATTTGGCAACAACCTCAACAACCTAAACGCGAGAAGTACTTAATGCAAGTTTCCTAACTTAATGGTTCCAACTATCTGTTTCTTTAGAGTGAAATAATAGGTTTCTTGATAGATTCCAACGGAACCTGTAGGGCCATTATGTCCTCTTGGGAATGTTCAAAGTAAGCGTCTGTATGAAAAACATCAGAGTGTTGTGAAAGTCAATTTTAATTAACGTTCCAAATTTTGTTCTGAAAGGATTTTTCGTTTTGAACACGTCCAACTAAGCGACCTTTATCCACATCAAGTAGAAAAGCATCGTATGGGATGAAATCCGTGGAAATGTAGTTCATTTTTTCGGCCATTAAGCTACGGAAGCTATGAGACTCGACTTTCCTGATGCCACAAGTATGATGCGAATGGTTTTAAAACCCTCAGAACTTCCGATTCAGTTCCCATCAGCTTAAATGTCCGTAGTCAAGATCAAGATCCTAGTGAGTAAAAACATCGATGAAAACTATACTTATAACACGATAGTCATTTTCAGACCTGAATGTGAACAATACATTTAAGCGAGCAATAGTCGAAAGGTTTCAATGGCCATTAGTATGGTTTCCTCCAGAGACTGGATAAATGAGTATCGCTGGTCAGTGGCCTCCAGTTAATGCTGTTAATATAATAAATGTTAATATCGAAAATCAGATTAGATTTGAATCCACACGTCAGATAAACCAACAAATGAAATGTGTCTATAGACTATAGCAACCGAGTAAACAAACTATCGCTAGATATAAATATTTATAAATATACACCGTGTCCAATATATTCTCATACACCTTTTCATCTTGTCGTAGTGGTGAACCTACAGTTCATACACTTTATATGGACTGGTGTAATCTTGCACTGTGTTTACACAAACCATTGACGGTTCTGTTTGCTTATTTTCATTCAGTATCCATCTTTTATCAACGATGAAAGAATTTCGTGCTGTGGTAATAAAAAAGTTTTTGGAAGGAGAGCGCCCTGGCGCTATTTTCAATAGTTTGCAGAGTAAAGCGGGATTTTGTGTATCGAACCATTAGAAGGTACCGTGAGACTTCCTCGTTAGATGACCGGAAAATATCCGGCCGAAGACGTTCAGCTAGGACTGAACGAGTGATTAAGACCGTCAGGGAACGAGTTCGACGAAAATCACAACGCTCTGTACGTAAAATGGCCACTGATCTCAATGTCTCGAAATCGACCATGCACAATGTACTCAAGCAGGACCTGGGATGCCAAGCTTTCAAGAAACGTAAAGTTCACGGAGTTTCGGAACCTTCCAAGAAGAAACGGCTTGAAAGAGTAACTCTCCTACTATCGCGGCACGCTGGACGAGACTTTGTCTTTTCCGATGAAAAGTTATTTGTCCTGCAGCATTCTCACAATTTCCAAAACGACAGGTTGTGGGCGTGTAGGTCCAGCGACATCCCAGATAGGGACAGAAACATTCCACGGTTCCAAAGCGCCGCTTCCGTGATGGTATGGGGAGGTATTTGCAAGCGCGGCAAGCTACCGCTTGTTTTTATCGACTTTTTGGCCAAGGATGAATGGCCTCCCAGTTCACCAGATCTAAACCCCTTGGATTATTTTGTGTGGCCATACATGCTGTCAAAAATAAACGAACACAAGGTGTCCACTTTGGTTCAGTTTAGAGCCATAACTGATGTGAAATAATCGATGTTTGAATTTGTATGAGAATATATTGGACACGGTGTAGGTATGTCGATAGAAATACAAAGTTTAGAGTGGGATTCCCATAGGGTCAAGCTCTAGGAATAAAGTTCCACTTTTTGCCATTTTGGACCACAGTGCGCTGGCATTTGGTAAAAAGTTCACTAGTGTTTTCGAACTGGCGAGCCGTCGGGCCGCGCCGTCCGACGCTTTGAGTGGACGGTCTACTGTGTTCGTGACGGATGCAGATGAAATCGGCTGGAGGTAATCCACCAGCTGCTGGATGTTGGGCACATCATCGGAGGAACAGAACCGATACCCCGTATCATGGCGTGCTAGCCAAGAAGAAAAGCATCGACGGACGAGGAAAGTTCAGACAGTTGGAAGCGGTTTTCAAGTGCCACACTGACGGAGGAAAACGGTGGAAGTAGCAGCAGTGGAATTACGTTCGGAAAGAAAAGGAGATGGATAGACGTTAGGAAATGTTGAGGAAAATAGGAATGTGGTGAATAAACGTATTTAAGGCGTGTTCAATGGCGCATTTCTTTAATTGTTTTATAAAGAAAGACATATTTTGTTACAATCTACGCCTATGCTACTCGATATGATGATTTAAAATTTACTCCTGCTCTACACTTTCTGTTGACTAAGTATGTATCCACGTATAATCATTGAGTGCTCAATAAAACTAAAATAGATTTGTCAGAATTTAATTCCCTAGAAGATAAACAGCTTTCCATTTGATTCAAGAGACTTTTCAATTATAAACCACGTACAGAAATGATATATTGTTGCAAATTTGACCACCGAAGAATGCTGAAAAAAACTGGTTCTCTCAAATGTTAGAAAATAAAACAACACGCCTCCCAACGGAGAGAAACGATAAACCCACGAGACACACTTAGCATTAAAACCTGCCGTGAGATGATTGGATCTCAAATGTTCACCTAGGATATATCTGTCCCTTTTGACTCGTTAAAACACAAAAAAAAAACAGAAAACATTAAAGAACCAACCTAATCAAGGTTACCCCCTGCCAAGAGATGTCGGCTTCAATTTCCGTCTTTATTAAGTTGAAATGATTGTTTGCCGCGTCGTTATATAGATTTCTTTCAACACCTTCTCAGCGGGAAGTTATCTTTTAGTGAAGTGGTTTTTTTTTCGTTTATTGCTGTGTAAAAGTAAAATGTAAATTAAATAAAATGGCACCGATAGCATACTTTAGTTTCTTCTTCATTGGATGTTGCTTACATTTTAAGGATGATCTGAATGTTCATTTTGTCATAAACCGACATGTGGTGTTGTACTGAAAGAGTGATACATTTATATAAATTCCCCGATCGGCTTGATGACAAGTTCGTGGATCTGTAAGAGTTCATAAACAAATCAATCAATTTTTTATAAATGGTAATGGTTATTTATATGTAGATACTAACTTGAACATTATCTGGTGTTGTTATGGCGTAAATTACAGCATCAGCCACATCCTCTGGTTTCAGTTTTGGCATGTATTTTACGAGGTCATTATCGCCAGCAGTATGATTGGCAACGATGTCTCCTTCCACCAGTCCCGGACTGATGCTCTGAAATTGATCATTAGTATTGAATTAGACTAATTCTTACTGACACGAGAGTTTTCTGTTAGATTCACTTACAGATACTTTAACATGAGCATCAAGATAGATTAGCTCTTGGCGAATACACTCGGTGATTGCGGTGACAGCAAACTTGGAAGCTGGATACATTCCATTCAGTGGTCTAGTTCCAGGCACCGTCTGATGCACTTTATGTCCAAATATGCTGTTTATGTTGATTATGTGGCCGTGCACATCTCGTGCTTTCATCGATTTGACTGCTTCTCGGGTGCACAAGCATAGACCGATGATGTTAGTTTCCATGGTGGTGTACAGATCTTTGGTGTTGTTTTTCTCAGTCAACAGGCACCTAGTGACCACCCCGGCATTATTCACTAGCAAATCGACGCCACCATATGCACCTTCAATCCATCCGAAGGCATGCTTGACATCTTCTTCTATTGTGATATCACATTCTACACAGTTGAGATTTCCGGCCACATCAAACAAACTGGCTCGCAGTTTTTCCACTTTGTCTCGCCTTCGGGCCAAGGCACACACGATCATTCCTGCTTTGACCAGCTCTTTGGCGATAGCTCCACCGATGGCACCGCTGGCTCCCGTAACGACAGCAACCTTGCCTTCCCATTGCTTCAATCTCTCAGCTATGTTCATTTTTGGAGGTCTAATGAAAGGATTATGAAAATATGAATTGCCTTATTATTTAGAAAATTGATCAATACACGTAAAACGGCGTATGCAAAAAACTTTAAGCATGAATTTCTTACACCCACTTTAGATATTCCTTGCAAGAACTGTAATGGAAGTTCTTACAACTGCCTGTAGCGAACAAGCAGCTTTTTCCAAGTATTTCCAACGACCCCATTACAAGACCTTTTAAAGCAATGATCCCTTAGAAATTCGATACATTTATCATATAAACATTCCTCGGTTGGGTATAATGTACATATATGTCTTGAGTAATTAATTTCAGTTTTCAAACATAAGCGAGAGGGTCAAGTTTTTTTTATTGAGTTCATAATAACACACTACGACCTGTTCATGGGGCCTGTCGATAATCTATTCAGTAAGCGGTGCCGGTGGTGTAGTGGTAAGCGTGATTACTTCTCACCCCAGCAGGCCTGGGTTCAACCCCAGTCAGCGCCGCCGGGATGTTCTGAGGCATAACATCTCTGATCACGCCTTCCTTCGGAAGGGAAGTAAAGCGGTTGGTCCACGGTTCATGAGTTGATAGGTCGATAGGTAGGGTCCAGGTGTGGGAGCTGCCTCCTTGGCGTCAGTAGCATTGGTGCTCAGCACGGAAAACAAGATCGACGGAAAAACAAATCAAGGAAAAAATGCGGCATACCTAAAATTCCAGAGCGGACGGGTTCGACGGGTATGTGAATTTCCTTGACTTTCCTGGACCTAGAGCAGATGCCGTAGCATATGATAAAGCTGTGTCCCAATACCGGGTTCAATTTAACTCGAAGGTCAATGCACAATGGTCCCAGAACCATATTTAGGAAGACAAAAACGTTTGCGCCGTTCCCACACCTGGAGGCTACCTATCGACCCATCAACTCATGGACCGGGGACCAACGGCTTTACCCAACAAACAATTCAGAGTCACAAATAAGCATATAGGGTATACGTCCCTAACCTCGGTCTAATATGCAGCCATAGATTACGTTTTTAATCATAACTCATCAATTAATTTACCTGCAAACGATATTCTACTGCTAAATGGTATGCTTAGATATGCTTATCATGTCGTTTGCTATCAGGAACCGCAAAAAGTTGAAAAACTTACTTTTTTTAAGACAAAAACTCACCAGGGAAATGTATGTAATATCGGTCTATTGTCCCCAAATTGGGTCTATTTATGGATGCAACTTCGTCCTATCCTGTTTGATTCTCAAAAAAAAACGCTCTTGGTAACGTTTTCTTATGTATTTTTTTTTATCACTATCACTGTTAACTTAATACTCTTCATTCCTCAAAACATTTCTTAGAGAAAATTTTACGAAAACTACATTAAATCACTCAAGTTAAAAATTAAAAATTAAAAATTTCGCTTATCGTCTTTCGACCGCAGAATATCTAAATCAAAACATTGTGATGTTCATTATACAGGTTTGGCAGAAAAAATCTCCCTTCCTGTTCGTTCCTTATCATCCAAATGCAAACCACATTGTTGACGTTACTCTTATTGCTATATGCTGTCAAATGAATTTCATGGGCCAAAGTTAGGAACATAGAAAAGAAATGTGTCCCTAAAGTTGGGTCCATGATTTACTTGTGAAAACGTTGTTAAACAATTAAAATAAACATAAAATATTCAAACAGTAACTGTGAGTTTTACGTCTAGTGTGTATTATCAGGTAATTCCATTCAATAAATGCCATAATCAGGCCATTTGATGATCGTCAGTGCAACCTTCCCATCTTAACCTTAGAAGTCATGGCGGCTAAAAACTCCGAACAGAGTGATATTCTCAACCAGTTTTATTACTTACGAGAGCTGAAAATGTATTGAAATGTTGTGATATAAATTGATTTGTGTGTGGTACACATTTATCAATCATCAGTGATCAATATTTTCCTTATTTTTTGTGTAATATTCCTTAATTAATTATTTATTTGCGTGATAGGCCGAATGAAAGGACTAGACCCACATTACATACCGTAACCCTATATGGAATAAATGCTTTATAACAGTGTACAATGCTGAATAACACGGGTCGTCAAATTATGTGCTGAAGAGGCGCCTTTATTCCGCTGATTGCTCTAATTTGATTAATATACTTATTAAAAGCTATACAAACGATGACTGTCTTCCTGATTCAACAACAGAAGTTTGATATAATAACAAACTGAATAAATGTAATTTGCACATACATTGACGCTTTAAGGGGAGGTTTACTTGGATTTTTTCAAAAAAAATGATTTTTTTGCATAAAATGAAAGCTACAAGTGTGTAGAATATGTGGCCCAAAGGATTTTACGATCCGAAACATATTTAGCGAGTTATGGCGCTTTGAGTGAACCTTTGTTATGCGCGCTGAGGGACGCAACAAAAACTTTAAACGCGTTTTTCTCGAAACCTTTTTTTTAGAACAACTTAGAGCATAGGGCTTGAACAAATGATCCGATTTCCAATCGGAAAATTGCGCTTTGAAGGATACTATTTTTTGTATGGCTTATACCTAAAATGAAAAAAAATTGTTAGTTACTATTTTTTAAGCAAGGTCAAAGTGAGAAAAAAAAGGGGTAAAAAAAGCACTAAATTTTCAAATGTCCATAATTTGGTCAATTTTTGTCGGATTTCGTTCTAGTTAGGTATAAGCCATAGGGAATATTATCAACTTTAACCACAATAAAAAATGTTCATTTCAGTTCATAACCAGAGGGTGTGCACTCAAAGTTCTGCAGCAAAACCTGACTGACACTCCTCCACGCGAGCCGCCATTTTGAGCCACCATTTTGTTTTTTTTACCTTCAAAAAATTTCCAAGTATTCAGGAATAGTGGACAAATATAATTATCGAAACCGGAAGTTCGTATGTCTTTTCATTCTACTGAAAAAAAATTCCAAAGTTCAACTGTTTTTCAGCCAAATCCAAGTAAACCTCCCCTTAATTCGGCTGTTTTAAATTGATTTAATAACATGCTTTATTATACGTCTAATAATTGTTTTCTAGCTCTATTATTAGATTCATTCGCATTGCTTAATAATATTGCTGTATAAAGGTGAATACAGTCAGCATTACAGCTCTTATAAAGAGTGTCCACGATGAAATTGCCACACGCAAAATTGATTCGCAAAATTCGAGTTTTCATCCGATTGCCATCAAATTTTCAGGGATTGAGAAATAACTATTAAACTTCATTTTACCATTTTACTAGTATTTTATTTACAGTCCATACGCAAATGCCCGCACCTTGGCCTTAACCCCGGCCATAAGATTCTGCACAACCTGTGAATCAACCGTTTTTTGCATGTAAACCCATACTTTCTTCAGTTCCTCGACTGTCTTCACTACCTTAGGTCGTTTAAGAAGGTGCTGCTTCATAATCGCCCAGTACTTCTCGATGGGGCGGAGCTCCGGAGTGTTGGGAGGGTTGAACATTTTCGGCACGAAATTGACCTTATTGTCCGCATACCACTTCAGCACGTCCTTGGAGTAGTGGCATGAGGCCAAATCCGGCCAGAAGATTGTTGGAACGTTGTGGGCCTTCAGGAGAGGAAGCAGCCGCTTCTGGAGGCACTCTTTTATGTACACCTGTCCGTTCATCGTGTCCTGGGTCACGAAAGGTGCACTCCGCTTCCCGCACGTGCAGATGGCTTGCCAAACCAGGAATTTCTTCGCAAATTTGGACATCTTCTGAGTGCGGACATGCTCCGGAACGCTGAACTTATCCTTGGCCGTGAAAAACAGGTTGCCGGGGATCTGTTTGAAGTCGGCCTTCACATATGTTTCGTCGTCCATGATGCAGCATTTAACTTTCGTCAGCATGTTGAGGTACAACTTCCTGGCACGGGTTTTGGCGGACTTGTTCTGCTTCCCGTCGCGATTAGGGGCCTTTTGTACCTTGAACGTTCGAAGCCCAACCTTAGTTTTGGCCTTCTGGACAAAACTTCGGCTTACGTGCAGCTTCTTAGCCACATCCCTAACGGAGGCGTTCGGATTTCGGTTGAAGGCCCCAACTACGCGGTTTTGATTTTTGGTGTTGTACGGAATACTTTTTCCTTCACTTCTGGGCTTCCGATCGGTGGTCAACCGTTCCTCGAACCGCTTAATCAGTCGCGACACCGTGGAATTCGCGATTCCCAACGTTTTAGCGATGGAACGATGCGAGAGATCCTTGTTCTCGTGATGAATGCGCAATATTTTATCACGCACGAGCTGTTCTTTCGACTCCATTTCCGCGAGTTTTGATCAAAGGACTTTAAAACTTGCAGGATGTAAATAATGCACTATGAACTAAATCCACCCAAATTTTTATTAAATTCTACCCAACGGTTAAAAAGTTAGAGCAATTTCATAGTGTGGCAATTTCATCGTGGACACCCTTTACCAATATGCGTCCATGTTTTAATTGCATGCTAATGCTAATGCTTTACAAACGGCGTATTCATTCATTATTCCACAACACTGTTTTAGGCTAACAACAATTGGTAGCATAGTGGTTACCGTTTCCGCTTTTCAAGTTGAAGGTTGTGAGTTCAATCCCAACCTCAACTCTTTTTCTTTTATTTATTTTCTACGCTTAATTAATTTAAATCGTAATCATAGATCGTATAACTTACGACAACCAATTCATCGATCTATCGAAAAAAAAAATAACCAAGCATCCTTTCCATCGAAATTAGAGAGATGGAGAGGTAACATTGGTCTCATGTAAAACAACTATGAATGAGTTAATCATTCTCACATCTCCTTGAACTAGCTAGAGTTACGGCTGGGAGTGCTGATAGGTATTCAGATTCAAGCTTTTATTGCTTATTTAGCTGTCCATATTATGTATTCTAGGATAGCTCAGATGGCAAGGCAAGCAGCTGGTGATCGGAAGGTCATGGTTCGAATCTCATCTAATGACATGTGTGTATGTTTGTATGTATGTAATAAATTTTCTAGTATCTGTGTGGTGGGGTGCGTGCTCCGACAGAAATAATGACA